AAATGTAAAGCAGCAAAAGAAAGAAGGAAAGAAAAAAGGCAAAAAATAAAGAGGTGAAAGAAAGAAATAAGGAAAGAGAGAAGAAAAGAAAGCAAGAAAACGTAAAGAGGCAAAAGAAAGAAAGAAAGAAGGAAAGAAAGAAAGAAGCGAAAAAGAAGAGGGAAAAGTGAAAGAAAGAAATTACAACAAAAAGGAAATGGAAAATGACGTTATAAATTGCAGTCGAAATGGCCGGCTATTTTGGTTCGATCAATTCCAGCCTGAGCCCCAGTGTCACATTTTGCATTAAGTAGGCAACTCTAAAAGCCTGATCCCCCCCACCAAACTGCTAAGTCGGTTGTTAAACTCATCATGTGACCGCTCCGAGATTCTTGTCTCTATCCATAGCCGCGAGCAGACGTGAACTACTTTTGGTTTGTTGCTTAAACGAACAGTTTTCATTCTATCTTATCCTTTCTATGACCTTGAAAGAAGAAAAGAATTGCCGCCATTGTCTAACTTCATTAGTACGACGAGAGTCCAAATCAACGACTTAGAAAAAAAAAAACTAATGTCAATGACGTCATTGATCACTCATAATAATTGTACCTTCCTCCCCCTTTTTGTGGGGGAGGAGGGGATTGATATTTATGAAGCTTAACTTAGCCTGACAAATGAGGCTAGATTGTGATGCGACAACCTTCTCATTAGCTTGCCTGCTCTGAAAATCAGCATTTGAAATCCTTTTCAGACTCGAATACCAAATATTTGCGTCAGCGGCGAAATTGGTAGGAATCCCACCAACCACTCAAGGGTCAAAGTAATTTGATACAAGGTTATCAGCGAGGGCACCAGGTATCATCGATTTCATTCGCAATGAACGGTCGGGTTAGTTTGTTCATTATTGTTCTAATGCGTGCCCCCATATTGTTGCGGGTGTGTGTGATGTGTGTTGGAGAGGAATAGAAGGTTTGAATTATCAGAAGGCTTAAAATTGTGTGTTCAATAATCTTCCATCCACAACAATTAATACAAGATAGAGAATAAAGATTCATAAACATCTTGTTTCAAAACGTAACAAGTGAATTTATTAATATTTGATATACATGCATGAATACTGGGTGAAAAGGTTAAACAGAGTTGTGTCTCTTAGATTAGGTAATATTTGTACCCAATTTCATAAAGTGAAAGTAATTATTAAACTGTAGTCTAGAAGAATAAAGTTTATTTAGCATGTTTGGAATTGTGTATTGTACAAGTTGGTAAAAGTTCAGAAGAGATTTCAGAGTTCGTACTTGCGTGAATGTTGATAATGGTCTTTAACGTCTGACTGCATTAGTTAAGACGGGAGTTCTTGAAGATTACATCTTGGTACTTGGTAGCAAGGAATGAGACGTGAGAGAGAGATGAATAAAAAGAAACTCGAGGGAGTTTACACGTGTTTTGTTTTTATAAAATAGTGTATCACGTGACTGGCTCAGACTGAGTTGGCGCCAAAATAGATCTGTCGCGTGGGGGTGATTTGATTGGTCGAAACTGACCAATCAGCGAGGTAGATTGAAGTTGATTAACCAATGAATGCTTTTTATATATTTTGTAAGATTGTGATGGTGAAAATTACAACAGGAATAGTGCATTTCCTAGCAGGGGTTAACTGGCTTGTTGTGGAAGAGTCCACAATATCTTGCGCATGTCTGTATGTGTGTGTGTCTCTGTGTGTGTGTGTGCGTGTGTGTGTGTGTGTGTGTGTGTGTGTGTGTGTGGTGTTTGTGTGTGGGGGGGTGTAGGTGTAGGTGTTTCATAGAAAATGTATATGGACGTGGATATTCCCATGATTCATTAGATGGTCTGTATTTACGCTTCTGTCTCGTGGGTAATGGGGTTGCTTGTTGGGCTCATCTTCTCACCAAGAAACACGTCAGAGGTTGCATGGTACCAGCACCAAAGACCGATCAACGCATCAAACGCATAGTATGGGCGGCCTGACATGAAAATATTGCATTGCCATTCTTGGGCTGATTTGGGCAATTTTTGCAACATTTGAGAGATATTTCAATTTCCCGCCACATTGCATTAAAATCCCTTTCGTTGAGTAAAATAGTCTATTAATTTCTAGTCATTCGTGTCATCTCTTTCTTTCTCTTTAACCTCTTCTCCACTCTCTCTCTCTCTCTATCTGTTTGTCTCTCTATCTCTATTAAAACCCTCTCGCTCTCTTTTTCTATCTGACTGTCTGTTTGCTTGTCTGGCTCTCTGTTTTTCTCTCTCTGTCTTTCTTCGTCTCCCTCCCTATGTTTATCTTTCCCTTTGTCTCTCTTTTCTCTCTCTGTTCGTTTCTATCTGTCTATCTTTGCCCTTCTCTCTCTTTCTATCTGCCCGTCTGCCTCTCTCTCCTTGTCACTATCTACATATGTATGTGTTCCTAAAATATTTTCTAAGTTCAGTTTGGCATAGAACCTCCCCCACCAGCGAATAATTTCCAAGACTAGCTTCTTATATATAGCTATTTATATATATAACTATTTATATATATAACTATTTATATATAACGAGAACAATTTAAGAAAAAGTTGAAACTTTTTTTTTCTAGACAAGCAGACGGATGAAACCAAAATTCAGATACGCGGATTTATTTGCAACTGGCAAAATGTATGACGCAACATGAGCTGATTATCCTGTGGAATATGGCCCCAAATAAGGATGGAGTGAGTGTATTAAACATCTCCATTCACACGTCGTACAGAATATAGGACTCCCACTTTTACTACATATAAAAATAGCCTCTAATGAAATCTGAAAATAGAAAGAATAGCATAATATAAGTCACGATCAGTAATTATCTCATTTAGATTAGCGTCCCATTCAGGTAGAAGTTATCCACCCATGCCACAGTCAAAGGAGGTGGAATCACACATCACTTATAATTGATGAATATGGACAACTTGCGTGCGCGCACATATGTAGTGTGTGCGTGTGTGTGCGTGCAAGAAATAAATGAGTATTCAGGTTCAATCCCTGGGATTATCTACCCCTGTAAAAGCTATCTATCTATACATCTACCTATCTATATGACTCATTATTTATTTATTTATATAGATATCTACATGAAAACATTCTTTTTAGTTAAAAGTGTAAATCTGCGTAGACTGTGTTTTTGACAGTATTCGTGGATCTGACTCGAATTGTAATTAAATATTTTCGAATCAAAAATGTTAGAAGAAGCATCAATTAATTTTTTTTTTCTAATTGTGCAATATTTTTTTTTGTCTAAAAATTAAATCTCTGTACAGTTTTTTAGCTTCTAAATTTTTCAGGCATTTTTTTCTGATTTTAAAACCTTATCCCGTTGGATCCCACACAACCTACCGGTGGGTCCTGGTGGTATGTCTATAAGGCCCACACAACCTTTCGAAGGTTCGTTTTCCCATTTCTTTTCTATGAGGATTATTGGGAGTGGGTTGCTATGGTTGATTGCTTATCAGATCATGGTACACCAAAATCACATTTAAAAAAAAAATGTAAATATTTTTGAATATAGAAAATGAGAATTAGTTCCAATGTAATACTTGTATATTGAGAATTTTTCAACGAGCCACGGGTGGGTCGTGTGGGACTCTGGGTTGTAAAATGGACCCAGGTACCAAACAACGCACCGGTGTGTGGTGGGTAATAAATACTACCTAGGATATCCTTGCCTCATATATGAAACAATATTAGAACATAAAGTCACTTGTACCAAAATGAATTAAGCTATTTAAGACCTTGAGACAACAAGTGAAATGAGGTTTGGGCAGGCAACGAGTTAAGCGTCCTTGAAACATAAAATATTTCTCCAACTGAATTTTATTCTGACATTGGATTCCTTATCAAGGAAATGTTTAATGCAATACTCGCTTTCATAAAATGGAATCGACATTCTAACACATTACAAAAGTTCGCTTCAAAATTCAACACAAGTCGATAACACAGAGTTTTTTTGGTAGACTGACTCATTAGGTTGGGTACAGGTAGCAATAACTATACATTTCCATTGTTCGATACTATTTATCGTATCCATCTTGGACACCTTTTCACTTGTGAAACGTCAAAATATCATTTTGATTTTGATTAGAAAATATCTACAATTTCGGATGAATATGATAACCAGTCACATAATATTCAACTCGAAAAGAAATGACCAATATCAGGAGGGAAATAATTCACGCCTGACATCATGATGAACAGAAATTCTAGTAATCAGATCGCTGAATGTACACGGTACCTTTAATTTGAATGTATAAAATATCGTTAATTCTTGCAATTTGATTAAAAACAAAACAAAAGAACAATTTTTCTTGATGCGATTTTTGTTTTGGGAGATAAATTTTATCGTTTTTGTTAAAATCGTTTTTTATTTTCTAACATTAGCTTCCTTTTTGTTTCGATGGCAGATTTATTAATAAATAAATAGCAAATTAATTGATTTATTTGTTCCTGGAATGAAAAATACGAAATTGTTTTAATTTGAATTTTCTTAATTCTTACAACCTTATTAAATTGGATCTGAAAATTATTATCTCATTAGAAATGTTATTTTTTTTAATTAAATGTTTTATTTTTTCTATTTTGCTAAATGTGTTATTGTTTACATTAATCGGTCTGTTCTCTTCAGGTAATAAAGTTTGTGCTTACAAAATTGTTTTATATATATATATATATATATATATATATATATATATATATATATATATATATATATATATAACTTTACTGATGAGTCGTGATATTTTTTGTCCATCCAGGCCCCCCATCGCCAGAGTGTATTTTTGGGGGTGGGTTGGGGGAGTAGGCTTAACGTGAGGTGGGTAAGAATTCGCACACTAAAATTAGTTCAAATCATTTGAGTGTTGTGCGGGGGACTGATTTTCTGTGGTGGGGACAATTTCTCCTAACCCTCCCTCTTGGCGACGGGCCTGTGCCCTTCCCTAACTATGCTGTCTTTCAAAATATTCGAATATGCAAAACTTGATTCTACTTTTCAGATTTTATCAACGGAGTCCTGAAAGAAAGTCAATCCAACTTTTAAACTTCTTTTCCTTCTCACGACGTCAATCAAAATGGAGTTTCCCTTTGTTTTCGACAATTTCTTCCTGCGACTCTCACACATACACAGCCATACAAGAAAACAACAATAACAAAGAGTGGAAGATGGAAAACGTTTGATTTGTTTAAGAACTGTTGTTAATTGTTGTGTTAACAAATATTTATAATTCTCATACCATCAAGGTGGAAACATTTTTAATTTTGGAAAAAAAGCAAAAACAAAAAACCCTTCCAGCAGAGCGTTAAGTGTCTTTTCATTGTAATTTCAACGTGAATTATTCGTGATAAAATGAAAATAAATTATTGAATCTTCCAGTCCTGGTTTTCGTAATTATTATTATTATTATTATTATTGTTGTTGTTGTTGCTATTTCCCAATTTGGAGTTTTATACAATTCTTTACCAAATTCTTTTACCAGAGACCTGAGAATAAGGAAGGTTTTTCTTAGAAAGTTATTGCGCATATTCCATTGAGAGAGGTTTTTCTGGATATAGGGGAGAGCACTCAGATGTTAGATGGTCAATAGTTTTCCTCAGCTTTTTTACAAAAGTGACATTTTTTTAAAAAATCTGTCCTATTCATTAAGCTATGTACCAGGTAGAATCTTTTTGGCACATTTTAATCTTGAGCGGCAAGGACGTATCTTTTTTTCCTGGTTTCAACCCATAGGTCGTCCGCTGCTGATGAACCGGGTTTTTCTCAGTACCAAAGTCCCTTAGATACTGGCCATTATTATTATTATGATTAATTCTACTTGGGCTTTCTACACAATTAGTGATTGGTAGTTTTCACTGGATTTCAAATGACAGCAAACAAACGCCTTTATTATCCAATTGTCTTCTCAATATTTTCGCAGGTTTTAGCATGGTCGTTGTTTTAATGGTCCTTGCTCTCTCCCTAGACACTTTGGGGTTGTTCCTAGTACTCCGATAACAATTGGTATGACTGTCATGTTTATGTTTTACAATTTTCTCAACTTTCTTTTAAATTTGAGATATATATCTAGGTTCTCATTGTTCTTTTCGTTTATTCTGGAGTCTGTAGGAATAACGGAATGCATTGACATCTTTTCTTCTTGTTTACAACAATCAAATTTAGTCTACTGGTCTAGAATGCGTGATCCGTTTCAACCTCAAATCCCAGACATTTTCACTTGTTTCCTTTTTTGGGAGAGACTTCCCTCCATTGATTAAAATCCATTCGATTGTCGAGTTCCCGATGGATAACATTCATGCCCACTCTTATATTACTTCTTGGCTAAATTGTGGTTCAGTTTCATTATTATTGTCATATAGTCTACATTTGGTATTTTCCTGTGTTCTATTGCAACCATTATTATTATTATTATTATTATTTCAAGTAATATCAGTCGTCATCATAATTAGAGTGCAACGTTGTCAGCGTTCTAGTAAAGACAAAATTCCTGAAACTCTAAAACTGCTTTCGTTGTTTCCAACTTTAAAATTTTTTTATACCGTCGACATTTTAATTTCTGTTTTATTTCAACTTTTCATTATTTTTGTTATTTACATTAAAGAATCTAAGAGCCAGAAAAATAAGTGCCATTTTCTTATGCCAACGCCGTAATATCTCCCAGCGTGAAAGTATTTCTTATATTTTAGAGAAACACGCTCAACAAGTTCCAATAAAAACGTTTGATTTAAGTGTCTTGTACCTGATTCGACCCCATTAAGTAAATACCAAATGGTAGACATTCATATATCCACTTACAATTGCAAAACTATTATGTCTTTCAATCTAGAGCTCCAATTATTGTAGTAAAATTTTTTCTTTTCTGTAGAATTAAAGGAAAGCAAAAAAAAAAAAAAAGGTTTGTTCTTTTTTATTTTCATTTGTTTATTTTATCATTTTAATTAAGCTGCTATGGCAAAATGGCAGCGCGCAGGAAAATTAAGGTTCGAGTTTTACTTATAATTATTCGTCTGGTAACCGAGATTTCGAACTTTTTATCAGGTTTGTTTGCGAATGTTGCTCCAGCTTCACTGTTTCTTCGTCTATCTATAAACACCGCCCAAATCAAGACACTGACTTAGACACACGCATCAATGAACGTTCATAGAATGAAATATTCATTGAAGAGTCTTTCAGAAAATCATTCTCTCCGACATTATTTAAACATTGATATCAATTTATTGACTGGTGGCTATGATGCTTGTACATTGTTGATTCCGGTGGGAAGAGAAGTTTAACATAAATCAATTCTTTCGCTTGAATAAAGAGCTTTGAGAAAATGGCAGCTATAAACCGGGAGCCAACAGCAAGCTGGTAGAAAAGATCCGGAAATAATGATACATTCACTTGCGTGGAGCCATTTTGAAAAGTTCTGCTCGTGACTCTGAAATCTTTTCGATTGTCGAAGAAAATCAAATTTTGTCCAGACTTTTCTAGTGAAAATGAAAAGGCATTTATCGATAAATATCTACCCTGGGGCTTTATAATGCGTGACTGGCAGTATATAACATAATATATATATATATATATATATATATATATATATATATATATATATATATATATATATAACATAACAGTATATAATGGCCACAATCTTAACAATATTAGATATGTAAATGTCACAGTGCTGATAGCAGACATAAAAAGGAAAATACAGGAACATCTATAAAAGGTAGTAAAGGAAAGCAAGAAGAAAAGACTATCAACTGTAAGAAGATAGTTTGTATGTTTGTCAGCAGAAGGAACAGTCAAACATACGAACTACAAATTGTTGGTGTCGGATAATTAAAAAAGAAAAAGTTGTTGAGGCTGATGGCAATCTGGCGGTTTTTAGACAAAAGATCGAGTGTGGAAGTTGTGGATAGAGCTGGTGAAGGACTATTTTAGACTTGGAGTGTCAGTGTGGGTTTTTTTTTTGTGTAGCATCAATAAGCGCGTAGGTGAAGAGCTGTTTCTTGTCTTCTAATTACAGGTTGACATACTGTAAAAATGATTTGCTCTACGTACAGATATGTTAGCGACAAGTTCGAATCAAACATATATGAATGAAACAAGACTAGAAACTATTTATTAATATGAACCTTTCTTTTTCGCAACTTTTCTCGGTGTAGAAACTTCATTATATTCTGGGAGATACGATATTGTTTTGTTGCCCATGTAGAATCAAAGTTGTACCAGTTTAAGTTCTTGAAATATTCCCCTCGTCCTTTTGTCGCTTCTGTTAAATTCCTATGAAAACTGGAGGACAATATTTTGTCGGGTAAAGAGATGATCATTATGCTGCAAATTAAAACAAAGGAAAGAGAATTCGGTCATTTAAGTTGAAAAATATACTTTTTACATTGAAGTTCTTCAAATGTCGTTATCGAGAATCTTGATCTTTTGAAACGACCGCAGACAGTTGATGTCATCCATTTGTGGACGCCACTCCCCCCGTCCTACGAAAAAGATTAATTGATAAAATAATGAAAGAAAAACAAACGACAATGAATAATTGCTGGTTTTCTGTCTCAAGAAATGTTGTGGTGAAGGAGTTTCATCTTTCGTCTGATCCATCGACATCACTGGCAACAACATATATTCCTGATAAAAAAGGTAAGGGACTTTTTTCTTTTTCTTTTTATAAATGTTATCACCAAAATAGGACCTGGAAAATGCACTTCTTCTTCTTCTTCTTACAATGTCTCATACGTTTTTCTAAATAAAAGAACAGATACTATAACTTGATCCTCAATAAATGACTATAACTGTTGAACTGTGTACAGTATAAAAGAAAAGAAGTGCGACAAAGTGTTCATGAAATCTACGTCAATCGGTTATATTGTTCTTCTTCCCTTCAGGAGGTTGGCAATCATGGCTCTCCTTAAATATCTTTCTTGATTGTTATAGACACAATTTTTTCTCATTGTGCCTTCTGTGATATTCAGTCATCATCATCATCATCATTCATGCGCCATGTCTCTTCACGACACTGGCGATCATGGCAACCGGCGATCATGGCAACTTCCTGCCCTTTGTATCCGCCATATATTCACTCAAGCTGCCATGTAGGTCATGTGTTATTTTCCTCTATCATTCCTGTCAGTCCTGTGAGTATGAAATGTTTCGAACCCTCTTTTCTCATTATGTAACCTAAAAATTTCAAATCTTTTCCTGACATTATGTAATTGTCCTTTTTGCTTGTTTTGTCTCTAGAACTTCGTCGTTGGTCACATGTTCGGGCCATGGAATTCTCAGCATCCTTCTGTAGAACCACATTTCTATTTCCTCAGGTATCTTCTTCGTCTCTGAGGACATTATCTAACATTCACTGCCATATAGGAGGACTGATATTACGTAAGAGTTCAGTACTCTTTTCTTTGTTTCTCACGAAGTTTTTCCCCTTTTCTTAATATTTTAAAACAGTAACTGCGATATAAACGGTGAATTGGAAAGAATAATTCGTCGCTTGAGAATCTGTTCTGTTATGAATGTTGAGAAAAATTAAGATATCCTAAAATTAGTCTGTAATACCAGCTGAGACCAAAAGACAGGCATTCAATAAAATACTGAATGTGATTTGAAATAATTCGTAAAATAAATCAATAGAATTATTACAAGTTGCCACTGATTATTTTTAAACATCAACTGCAAGAAGACAGACGAATGACTGATAGCAAAAGATAAGCCCAACATGCAAATTACCAAAATGAAACATCAAAAAAAAAAAAAAAAAAAAAAAAAAAAAGAAATATGTGAGACGTGTTTTAACAGAGGACGGAAAGTGCGATACTGAAATCGGAAGGTGCATTGGGATACAACAAAAGGCTTTCTAAAATCTAAGCAGAGGATTAAGAAACAGGAAAACTTCGTCAAAAACAAAGAAAAGTGAACTAAACTTTTATATAATATCTATCCCCCTATATGGCAGTGAATGCTGGACAATCTCTTCAAAGATGAAGAAGAGACTTAAAGAAACATAAATGTGGTTCTACAGAAAGATCGTGGGGATATCATGGACGGAATAT